AATATCCCTTTCGCCGCCGTTTATCCCGACCCGACTGACAGCCCCTGGGTCTCCGAGGATGGTTTACCGGACGCCGAGAAACCACTGTTCAGACTGTTGGTTAATATGTTTTTTTATTCTCAACAAGCAAACATTTAAAGTCACCCGGCTTCTGATATAAGACTGATACTACATTCAAACTTCGTCTACAAGATATTCAAACAAGAACCTCAAAAATTAGAAAACTTAGCTTGCTGCTGTTCACTGGTTAAGCAGTGGATAACACTACTATTGTCTGGTCTTAAATTTCCCGAGACCACCACTAAAAATGCCATTGTGTTGGACACAGTATGGCTATTTTGAGACGGAAACATTTCATGAGGTCTGGGTCAATATTGAACAAAAAAACTGTTTGGTTATCAGATAACAAAATAGAAACTAAAGTTCAGATACTTTCCACGTTGAATTTATACTTCAACAAAAGCAACTGGTCAAACACTTGAAAAAGGGGAGAGCCCCCACGATCCGTTTAGACGGGAAATGGGGCAACCATTTACGTTAGTACGTTAAGCTCAGAAGTTACCACTATGCACTGAATACAAAAGTCCTCTGAGAATGCGTAAAATGCAAAAGCGAGATTTCTCATAGCTTCTCATCAACACAACTTAACCCAGTAAAACAAAGATTCATACCAAAAGCCTTAATAACACCTTAACAGTGACAATCATGTCGTGAGTATATACCATACTCGATCAAAAATAAAACCAAAGAGACACCAACCAACAAAAAATCGAGAGACTTCTGCTCTAAAACATTTCTTGGTTAATAATGAAAAAAAAAGGACACTCTAAAATTCTGCATAAGTCGCAAACGGCATATAAAAGGCGCAGCTTGCTTCTTCACTTTCCAACTGCCTTGAGTTCACGGTCCATCTGGCAGAGAGCGCATTCAGCACAAAACATCAAGGTGAGGGCATCATTGCACAGAGAACCCTGAAAAAAAAAACAGCAGTTAAGCTATAATTATTATCGTCGAAAGTGTTGGGAAGGCTGCTATTTTCAGTACCTTTCTGTTCCCCCCGCCCCTGGCCCAATACTGAGCAAAACGTCAATGTTTGTGCGCGTAATTGCTCTGTTATATCAAAACATTGAATAGGGAGGGAAGAGAGATATTCAGCAAAAGACAGAACTCTCTTTTTTGAGGACTAACCTTCCGAAATACTTTTGTCCGTGATTGTAGGTCGAAAGGATATGAACACTCGAGGGCCGGTGCCGCATAAAAACTAAGGTGTTACAAAATGGCCACACAGTTGAGTTATCCTTTTAAGACGTATCAGGTGGGTGGGTGGGTGGGCTTGTGTCTTGGTGGGTTGGTAGTTGAATGCTAGCGCAAGGATATTGGGGGGGGGGGAGGGGGGTTGGGTTCTTCGCGCTTATTCGCTTGCAAGATTTCCCAAAAACAAACAATCAAACAAACAAAGCACACGATCACCAAGTTCTTTATCAAAGTAAAAACTGAAAAAACCTACCTGAATATGCTGTTCTGTTCTCAGCTTGGCACGCAGAGTGAACGGTGCGATTTCAGAGCAGCAGCAGCCATAAGCAAATCCTTCCTGCATACGGCTGGAAATGCTGCACAACAGGAAGCAAGGACAACACCAACCCATGAGACCTAAGGATCAAGCAAAAAAAACAACGATAAGCTTGAACGAGGTTTAAACCAGGTGCTTAAACCGCAGAAAGAGCAAGTGCTGATTATGATAAATAATATTCCCTTTAATCTTTATTTATTTACTTATCACCAACCAGCATGCTCTTGACATATCAGAATGCAATTCTAGAGATGCAAAAGTTCTCTGGATAGGCTAAAAAGTGTTTTCACTGCATTTAGAAGAAACGTCGTTGGGTGCCCTGTTGGTTCCACAAGTAAAACTTACAGCTGCCTATATCATCCATGCAGGAGAACAGGCCAGAATTCCAATCCCTCAGGACTTGTGTTTGCTGGACAACCACAGTTGTTCCTGGCTGAGCAGTCACTATTTGCGCCATAATGAGTCCTTACTGGAAAACCAAAAATATAATAATAAATGATAATACTTTAATTATCCTCTCCCCTTGTGGGAATTTTCAAGGATTTTCTGAGTCTTCTGTACAGCCGACTGAAGAGCCAGTTCCCCACCAAACAGTCGTGCTATCACACATAACATAGTTAAAAAAAAACATAAGAAAACAACTGGTAGGAGGCAAACCAGTTGGCTATTCACAAGCGTGGCCGAGGATTTGAACTCGGGACTATCATGAACATAGCGCTCAGAACGGGAACTCAACTTGGGACCTTCGAATTACAAGTCCAGCACCCTACCCACTCGCGCATCGACCACGCCTCATCCACCTCTTCACAAATCATTTGCGAAGGGAATCCACTTTTAATGGGGAAACGTTGACAAGAAACAAGCAAGCAAGGACAAAACAAAACTGGAAAACGGCGGGGTAAACACTTCGAGGTTTGACCACTAAACAAAAAGGCCATTAATTAAAGCGTCCAAATAAAGAAAACGAAAACCATACATCCCACAAAAACAATCAGGTCATTTTACATATCATGAAAATATTTAAAACATCGATCGGCGTCTCTTTTATATGAGGATGAACGGAAATGTTAAGGTACGTAGTAAACCAGTGTCATTAATTATTGTCAGGGGGTAATCTCAAACCTCGGATAAACTCTCAGCTGTATGTTTTTAAAAAAGGACCGACATTGAAGGATAAAAAAAGACCTTGATAAAGACAGTCCTGTGGTTTACACTGTTTGATTTGCTTGGTTTTTCCACTGTATCGCCCCATGTAAAGGAATCAAAGAGAGTCTCTGATTCTGGATTCCAAAGCCCAGGATTCCTGATTTTCCGGATTGCGGAATCCCCATTCCCTTGTGGCCGGTTTACAGCGACCTGACTAACGTCACTTAAGGGCGAGGGAAGAATGGGTTCGACGTTTTCGTGAACCGGAAGCATGCTTCTGCGTGAACTTAACAGGGCTCTTGGTAGGGGGAAGTGCGCAATACAACATCTCTTTTTGACTAAAAAACTAAATCTTGCGATATTTGAAAGCGAAAATCATATCATAATATTATAATTTATCATAGTATAAGTAATGTTCGCAGCTTTAAATACCTCGGTATACATATATCTTCGGATTTCACATGGACTGATCATATTGAACACCTAACTGGGAAAATCAATCAGAGGCTTGGGCTTCTCAAGCGTATAAAGCATTAATTGCCTTTCAGGGCGCGTCTACTTTTCTATAAAAGTCTTGTTATGCCCCTTTTTGAATATGCTGATCTAGTATGGGGCGATAAACATAATATTACCCTTATGTCTAGTTTGCAAGTTTTGCAAAATAAGGCCGCTAAAGTTATTTTAAATAGACCATTGTACTCATCCTCCACTGAGGCATTAGCCGTTCTCAAGTGGCTGCCTCTAGAGAAAAGGCGATTTCAAAGAAGGTGTGTACACGTATACAAATGCATCAATGGCCTAATTAATCACGATATGGACTTGATTAGACAAGACGTACTTCATAGGCATAATACACGTAACAAAGGCAATTTTAGATTACCACGTGTCAAAAGAAATTGGGAGAAGCAAAGAACACAATATCATGCCGTTTCCGATTTTAACTCCCTCAGTCAGACGATTAGCAGACTCAAGGAATGTAAATAGTTTTAAACGTAATGTTTTTAAGATTTTAATATAGCTACTTACGTTTAATTTTTACTTATACTTATTTTCAATTTTTTATGCATTTTTTGTATCTTTTTAATCCCTTTGTAATTTTATAGCTTTTTTTGTTTTTATAATATATATATCTAGTTTTGCGGTCCTTTTTGAAAACCATAATCTTTTATGAAAAAGTTTCCTCAATAAAGATGATCATTATTTATAAAAACCAGGAAAATAAGAGGAGTAATACAGAGGTGATAAAGATTCTGCTTCATTACAGAAAATTCCTCATTAACCCTTGTTGGCAAACATTAGTATAGAAACCAATCACAACCAAGAGAGAAAATGTAGAACGAAAACGATTGCAAACAAAAAATGGAATGTCAGGGCGAGCACCGGCAAACCGCAGATAAAACTATTCTTGAGGACTGAGGACAACTAGCCTACTTCTAGCCGCTATATCTCGATCAGTACAAGTGTTTGGCTGGTAAAAGGACGTTAAGTTTATCGGCAATTTCGAAAAACCAAGGGTTCGAGACCTCAGAATTCTTCTGTACTGCCTATATTGTGATCACTCTTTGTCACGATTAGCCTGTGCTATAGAATAGGCCGCCGCAGAACAATGAGATCTAGTCCACACAGGTTACGTTGAGTTGGCTTTTGCTCAGTTTTCGTCAAGCCTAGTTTGGTTAATTAAATAACTAATGCAGGTTCCCTTTTTTAAGAGCGAATTAAAGAATCAGCAGCGACTATGAAAGGGATAAGAATCAACGTCCGTTTCAGGAATCAAGACACTGCATTTAGAATGCACTTAAAAGGTTGAATATTTCTTTAATCAGCAAAATGTTACAACTCTTTTAATGGAAATAAGTTCCTTTTTAACATGATAGTAGTGGAAAACAACTAAAAACACACCCAAGTACTGATCCGTACCATACTGATTGAATTTGAAATGGTGCACTGTATGTTGAGGGGTAGTTAACTGCCTGAAATTTTCACACCATATGATGCAAAAGGAAAAGTAAGAGTGCACACAAAGCGAGATCGTCAAAACTCCACCTTTCCCTACAGACACGTGCTTCTAAAGTAAGAATTTTTAGGCTTTAAAAGCCCTGTAATTAAAACGCCAGGCACGGAAGACACTTAAAACTGAATACGCGCTGGAGTCTTCCCGAGCACCCGTTAAGCAAAACAAACGAAAAAAATCATTTACGTGTAATAATTATGAACACTCGGACATCTTAATATTGAATCAGGGTGAATAGTGTGATTAATAGTGCATGGTATTGTTTGTCTCCGTTTACTTTCCGATAGCTTTGAGTTCACGGTCCATCTGGCACAGCACACAGTTGCCGCAGAAAGAGATCATGATGGCATCATTGCAAAGAGAGCCCTGAAAGAACACCATAGGTTAGAAGGGGGAGCGAAAACAGCACCACGGTGAACTTGGTAACTATAGGAGCCGATATAATCTATGATTGCCTTTTCAGTCTCTTTCAATCTCAGAGAGAAAAGGCGAGTTGTGACTACACTTTTTGGAACCTATTAAACTTAAGGAAAGGAAGCGAAGTTATGTGAACAAAACCTACTAAGTAGCACTATCGCACGCCATCTTAGCTGTTGGTTTCAACCTGTTTGTCTGTACATAAATCGGATCTCAGTAGAGTCAGTGTAAAAATTGCGATAAACATTTTAGCGTGTGCCTTAAAATCTATGTCACTGTATAGCTGTAACGCGGCAGGACTAGCTTGGTCGGTAGAGCGCTTGACATGACCTACAGATCACTGCCGATCGCGACTTTCATAAAAGTATAACGTTACGTTTCGTTGGGTAATTCAGTTATAAATGTGTAACGTAACAAGCCAGGAATCAAATACTAACTTGAATGCCCTGCTCTGCTCGGAGCTTGGCTCGAAGAGTAAACGGCGCGATTTGCGAGCAGCAGCAGGCATAAGCAAAGCCTTCGCCCATACGACTGGAAATACTGCACAACTGGAAACAAGGGCACAACAAACCCATGATGCCTGTAAACAAACAAACAAATGATAGGGTGTAAGGCTGTAGAAAATCCACCGTTACACTGACGGCAGAGGTGTCAAGGAGAGAGGAATGTCATTCACGTAGAACCGCTCAATTTATTGCACTCAGCAAACGTAAAGGTAATAGCACTTTATATAAACTCAAAAACTTGTCATACCTTATTGGTGCGGCTTAATTTCGGGATTTCGCCGGGTTTTATTTTCGCGATTTTAACAAGTAAACATGAAAAAAGGGCATTAAATTTCACAATTTAGGCTTTCTCAACTTCCTTTTCATTTTCTTTTTTTCAAAAGTCTGACCCTTTAAGAAAATTAGATAAACTGGAACAAGCAATGAGTGAAATCTTTGCAAACCAACGTCATTTCACAACGGAAGATACAACTGAATGGAGCTTACCAGTAAAACCAGAAAGCAATTTGTGCTTGTCGATAACTATCGTTGCTATTACATTATATTTAAAATTTTCTATACGGGTATCAAATTTCGCGTGCTTTTAATGTCGCGGGTCTTTAATTTCGCGATTTTTTTACATTTTTACCCTAAACCGGTAACGCAAAAAACCCTCCGATAAATCGCTCCTCCAAATATAAGCCCCCCCGCCCCCCCGGCCTTGCACTTGGAAAATTGCCCTCAAATACAAAGTAAAACAAAGCCGAAACGGTAAATTTACTTCCAACTATGAGGCTAGCCTAATCCATTTTGGGACGCAAATTTCCCCCCGTAGATAAGCCCCTCAAAAAGGGCCTTGAAAAATATAAGCCCCAGGGCTTACTTTCGGAATTTTACGGTGGGTAAATTTACGTTTAGTCACAGAACGTTGAGTTGAAATGGTGATTTTGGGTCGACATTGGGATGATTGAGTGCCACGTGAACAGTAGTCTCTCATAGTATGATGGGCGCCAGCGCCACAGAAATTTTAAACATCTGAGGGATTGTTCATGACCTTGTCTGAAGCTGCTGTTGGGGTTTTAGAAGCGGAGCTACTTTTACTTCTCTTGCGATCAAGGAAACTGAACATCGCGTTACTTACAGCTGCCTATGT